GTACTCGCGGCACGAGCACCTCCGGGACCGGCGGCACCAGCACCCTCAGCAGCCGAAGAAGCTCCAGTAGTACGCCTCCAGCGCCGGGCAAACCACTCACGCATCTCCTGTGGAGAGAGTGGCTCCCGCCGAGACGAAGCACCCGGAGAACCTCCAGGCCCAGCACCGCCAGACGCCACACGAGCAGGCCCAGCGGCCGCCGGCTCCGCACCCCCACGCTCAGCAGCTCCAGACGTGGCACCCCCAGGCTCAGCACCGCCAGACGTAGGACCTCCAGGCTCAGCACCCCTAGGCGTAGCACCCCTAGGCTCAGCACCCCCAGGCGTAGCACCCCCAGGCTCAGCACCCCCAGGCGCAGCACCCCCAAGCTCAGCACCCCCAGCAGTACCACCTGAAGGCCCAGCACCCCCAGGCGTAGTACCCACCCGCGCAGCACCCCCAGAGTCAGCACCCCCAGGCTCAGCACCCACAGCAGCACAAGAGTCACCAGTAACCTCGACCGGCTCGACCGCGTCTACCTGGGACACACCTGAAGGGGCAGGACCCTGAGGGGGGAGGGGGTCTACCGGGGGGGGGGGGACCTGGCACAAGGAAGAGCGGTGGCGGGGGGAGGGAAGGAGTGCGGTAGGGGAAGAGGCTGTAGTAGGGGACCGACTCGTCAAACGTGACATCCTGAGAGGACAGAACGCGACGAGAGGTGGGGTGGTAGAACTGCCACCCTGGCGCGTCAGGGGGGAAGCCAAGGAAGACACAAGGAGCAGCACGAGGGGACAGCTTGTCCGCAGACAAGTCGCGGACAAACGCCCGAGATCCCCAGACACGGAACGCAGACGCATCGCCTACCTTCCCCGTCCACAGCAAAGCTGGGGAGGTCTCCGGCCTGGAGATCCTGGGGTGAAGGTTGATCTGATGCGCCGCGTACCGAACCGCAAACGGCCACAGAAAATGGGGGGCAGCCGCATGCATCATGGACGTACGAGCGACGTCCATGACCATGCCAATGCGGCGCTCAGCAATCCCATTTTGCTGTGGAGAGTCCGGAAGCGTATAGGTCTGGCGGATGCCTCACGCACGCCAGTAGGCTCGCAGAAGGCCAGAGGAGAACTCTCCGCCTCTTTCCGAGTGCAGACGCAGAACAGGAAAGTCCGAGCCGAAGCTCCTCCTGAGCTGGAGACGAGCTGCGCGGATCCAGCCGATCAACACCTCAGTGACATCGCCCTTGCTGCGTAAGGGGAAGACTGTGGTGTAACGCGAGTAGTCGTCAACCACCAGCAGAAAGTAGCGCTCGTGACCCTGTCCACGGACGCGGGCCGGGCCCCACACGTCCATGTGAAGCGTCTACAGCGGGGCCTCTGTCGGGGGAAACGGAGAGGAGTGAGAAGCAGCCCGTAGCCGCCCCTTGACATAGGGGACTCAGGAAGGACCATGCCCCGAAGGAAGGGGAGGGAGGGACCAGGGAAGACCGGAGACAACGACACGGGAAGCCATGCCTCGGAGACGAGGCAGGGAGGGGTGACCAAGACGGTGGTGCCACAAGAGAGTCTCGTGAGACAGGAGGCGACACGAGCAGGGGGCTGACTCAGGACCAGACCTGGACGCTGCAGCAAACACCTGACCCGACGCAGCTACCTGACCAGACGCAGGGAGAGGAGGAGACTTAGTGGTCAGGGTGTAGAGGCTCGACCCTGGCCGACGCGTAAACGTGGCCAGGTGTCGGCCTGTGCGAGCGTCCGAGCAGTGGGTCACCCGCTAACTCGCAGGAGTAAACTGGTGAACCCCCACATCCTGCAGGTCAGCACCACTCACCAAGTTCGTAGAGAACGAGGGGAGGTAAAGACCTGACAAGGTGCCAGAGGGGGCAGCCGGACACGGGAGGACAGTGGAGAAGTGAGAGAGGACAGGACCCCCAGAGGGGTCTGCTAGGGAGACTGCAACCGGCCGACCAAGCGGCGTGAGTGTGGTGCGGTCTCGAAAGAAGGAGCGAGAAGCCCCTGAGTCAAGTGTGAAGGTGAGGGAGGCCGAAGCCGACGCGGTACCTGAGAGCGCAGACTCACCAGTACCTGAGGACGCAGACGCGCTGGCACCTAGAGCAACAGCCGCACTAGCACCTAGAGCAGCAGCCTCACCAGCACCTAGAGCAGCAGTCTCAATGCCCGGATCGGGCGGGAAACACCGGTAACAGTCACCCTCGTCACTATAAGTCACAGCATACATGGCAGCAAGAATAGCATCAAAGTCAAGATCAAAGATAGCTACACCTGCCCTAGACAGCTCTCCCCAGCGGGGGATCTCAGCGGCCTCCGGGAACTGGTGACGCCAAGCGTCCGTCAGGCGGCCAAAGCAGCGTTGGGTGGAGTGGGCACCCCCACACTGCTCACCCGCGCGGTCGCCGGTGCGAAGGACGTAGGTGCACGGACCAAAACCCCCACCACGCTGACGCGCAGCGTACCACTCACGGAGCTGCTGAGGGGGGGGGATGTCCCGAGAACGCTGCTGCTGCTGCTGCTGGCGCTGACCACCACCGGAGCCGCTCCGCTGCAAAGCGCCACCCCGACCAGCTCCACCTCCTCCACCACCGCCTCCTCCACCTCCGCCACCACCGCCGCCTCCGCTCCCACCGCTACCGCCTCCGCCGCCTCCGCTTCCACTGCTGCCACCGACACCTCCACCCCCGCCACCACTCCCACCGCCACCCCCACTCCCTCCGCCGCCTCCACCACCACCTCCGCCACCCCCGCTAGCTCCACCTGCGCCCTTGCCCCCTTTGCCCTTGCCAGAGCGACGTCTCCCGCTAGGGGCAGACGCCGCACCGACCGACTCAAGACCAACAAGGTTGGCCGCAGCAGCAGAGGCGACAGAGGGCAAAAGGGTGGAAGGGGAACACCCCTCAAAGATGGGGGTGCGAGGGTCACCACGAGAGGCTCCTACAGCGACTATGCTCTTCTCCCCTGCTAGGAGGGCCTTCTCTAGGAGGTCAACAGTGAGAGTGGTGGGACAGACCGAGAGGAAGTGGTCCCTGACTACACGAAGGGAGTCAGGGAGGCGGGTGACTATATAATAGAGAGTGATGTACATGGGGGGGGGGTTCTTGGCGCAGAACTCAGCAGGAAGCGCAGCGCGGTAGCGAGTGTCACTAGTGCGGAGGTGCGTAATGAGGTCAGCGACTGTGGGAAAGGCAGCAAGGTCAGGGAAGAGGTACGGCAGCATGAGGCGGCTCAGTGCAGCAGTGGCAGGGGAAGAGTAGCGCGTAACTACGGCGTCGTACAAGGTTTGAGCATTCTTGTACTGACTAAAGTGTGCGCGCTCAGTGGTAGGCAGGTGGCGACGCACAGCAAGACGTGCAGCAGCATCGCGAGTGGCCCACTGGGAGCGAACAGTGGCGTCGGCATCGGCAGCAGGGGCAGGGGAGGCACCAGAGGTAAGGTCAAAGAGGGAGAGACCGTCTGCCCTATCGCACTGTAGGAAAAGCTGCAGGTCATCTACCCAGACCTCAAAGTCAATGGCCCGACCCTCAGCGTCAAAAGCGAGAACACTGGGGGTGGCCATGACAGCAGTAGGCTAGCAGTGCTAACTGTAGGACAGGGGCAGTGCAGTGACAGAAGCGCTGCTCTCACCAGACAGGGCGGTTCGGGCAGCTCGGCAGCACAGCAGCACGTCAACACGGCGGCTCGGGCGACTCGGGCGGCTCAGCAGTAACTGCGGCTCGGCGGCACCAGCGGCTCGGCTCCTCTGCGGCTAAGGCGGCTCGGGCGGCTGGGGCGGCTCGGGCGGCTCGGGCGGCTCGGGCGGCTCGGGCGGTTCGGGCGGCTTGGGCGGCTCGGGCGGAACGGACGGCTCGGGCGGCTCGGGCGGCTCGGTAGGGCGGCGGGGCCGCAGTGAAGGGCGGCGGGGCTGCAGCGAAGGGCGGCGGGGCTGCAGCAAATGGCGGCGGGGCCGCAAGGTAGGTGGCGGGGCCGCAGCGAGAGGGGCGGCGGGGCCGTAGCGAGAGGGGCGGCGGGGCCGCAGCGAAGGGCGGCGGAGCCGCAAGGTAGGCGGCGGGGCCGCAGCGAGAAGGGCGGCGGGGCCGCAGCGAAGGGCGGCGGGGCCGCAGCGAAGGGCGGCGGGGCCGCAGCAAAGGGCGGCGGGGCCGCAGCGAAGGGTGGCGGGGCCGCAGCGAAGGGCGGCGGGGCCTTAGGGAAGGGCGGCGGGGCCGCAGTGAAGGGCGGCGGGGCCGCAGCGAAGGACGGCGGGGCCGCTTCGAAGGGCGGCGGGGCCGCAGCGAAGGGCGGCGGGGCCGGGACAGGGCGGCGCCGGGGACGTAGGGCGAGGCGACGGGGCCGTAGGGCTAGGCGACGGGGCTGCTAGGACGATGGGGCCGTCAGGGCGACGGGGCCGCTAGGGCGGCGCGACGCAGTGAGAGAGAGGAGCGCGACTCGGGCTGAGCGCGCTCCGGGCAGGAAAAAAAAATAAATCGATGTGTTGGGCCCTAGGCACAGTTCCCACTAGGGAACCTGCTCGATACCATGAGAAAACTGAAACGAGAATGATTGACTAAGGAACGAAAGTGATACAAATATGCAACCCTAGAAATGTGTACCCCATATAGGCTACCCCACTATAGCCTACACAACATTATAATTTGACAGGGTTCTCTAGTGCATACTGAACCTAGTAGCACATATTTCCGGCGTCCCTAGTATCTCAAGATCCCGACATGGAGTCCCGGACGATCCTTAGTCTACCTGGCGATCTTCTCTTTAAGATCCTTACTCACTCCTTGGAGCAACCGCCAGCTTCACGCGGCGAATCTCACTTGGACAACTTGGACACGGACGGTTGGCCGAACTGGCCACGAATCACTGACGGTTGGCCAAGCTGGAGACATGAGAGGCAGCACGAGGGGAGATGAGAGGGAAGAGGGGCGTAACTGAGAAGGAGAAGCGGGGGTAATGAAAGGGGCAAGCGCAGGAAACTTCTGGGGGAAGGGGGGGAAAGGAGAGGGAGAAGGGAAGGGGGTCATTTTAGGGAGTCGGGGGAAAGAAAGATGGGGAGGCTAGCACACGGAATGGCGAGGCTTGAGATGGAGATAGGAGGGATGGCTGGGGAGATAGGGTGGCGTTTAGCGGGAGATAGGGAGAGGGAAACGGGGAGAGGGAAGGTGGAACGGGGAGGTGGGAAGGGGTAATGGGCTGCGGGAAGGGGAAATTATAATGTGTGAAGGGGGTACTTGCTGCGGGAATGGGAATCGCGGTGGCGGATAGGGGAAATGCGGGGCGGGGAGGGAAACCGGGGAGCCGGGAAGGGGTAATCAGGACAGAGGGGAAATGGAGATGGGTGGGTTGGGTGGGGATAGACGGGAGGCAATGAGGGAAATTAGGAGCCAAGAGGGGGAAACGGGGAGGTGGGAAGGGGAAACGGGGAGGTGGGAAGGGGAAACGGGGAGCGGGAAGGGGAAACGGGGAGCGGGTAGGGGAAACAGGGAGCGGGTAGGGGAAACGGGGAGCGGGAAGGGGAAACGGGGAGCGGGAAGGGGAAACGGGGAGCGGGAAGGGGAAACGGGGAGCGGGAAGGGGAAACGGGGAGGTGGGAAGGGGAAACGGGGAGCGGGAAGGGGAAACGGGGAGCGGGAAGGGGAAACGGGGAGCGTGTAGGGGAAACAGGGAGCGGGAAGGGGAAACGGGGAGCGGGAAGGGGAAACGGGGAGCGGGCAGGGGAAACGGGGAGCGGGAAGGGGAAACGGGGAGGTGGGAAGGGGAAACGGGGAGCGGGAAGGGGAAACGGGGAGCGGGAAGGGGAAACGGGGAGCGGGAAGGGGAAACGGGGAGCGGGAAGGGGAAACGGGGAGCGGGAAGGGGAAACAGGGAGCGGGAAGGGGAAACGGGGAGGCGGCTAGGGGAAACGAGGAGGCTGGAACCGGTATTGAGGCGGCGAGAAGGAGAAACCGGGAGGCGGGGAGGGGTAATGGGGAGCTTGAAGGGGAATGAAGAAGGTGGGAAGGGGTAACGGAGAGGTGGGGAGGGGTAATGGGGAGCGGGGAGGGGAACGCGAATGGGGGAAGAGGAAACGGTGAGCGGGAATGGGAAACGGGGAGGCAGAAAGGGGAATTGCGGGGCGGGAAGGGAAACCGGGGAGGCGATAAGGGGTAATGGGGACACGAGGTGGGGATAAGGGGTGGCGGAGAGGGGATTTTGGGAGGCGGGAAGGGGATACGGGGTACGGGAAGGGGAAACGGGGAGGCGGAAAGGGGAATTGTTGGGCGGGAAGGAAAACCGGGGAGGCGGGAAGGGGTAATCGGGAGACGGGGAGGGGAAAAGTGGTGGCGGAAAGTGGAATTGGGGTGGCGGGAAGGGGATACGGGGTGCGGGGAGGGGAAACGGGGAGGCGGAAAGGGGAATTGCGGGGCGGGAAGGAAAACCGGGGAGGCTGGAAGGGGTAATCGGGAGACGGGGAGGGGAAAAGTGGTGGCGGAAAGGGGAATTGGGGTGGCGGGAAGGGGATACGGGGTGCGGGAAGGGGAAACCATGAGGGGATACGGGGTGCGGGGAACGTGAATTGAGACGGCGGGAAGGGGAGACGTCGTGGCAGGAATGGGCAATGCGGAGTAGGAGGGGGAAGCGGTTGAGGCGGGATGGAGAATTGCGGAGGCGAGAAGGGATAACGGGGAGGCGGATATAGGGGGGACATGCAGACGTTTCAGCAGTCGTTCCGTACCTCAACCTCGCCTCCCGGCGGCTAGAACGGACACGTTGTCGTTTTTTCTGTCAGATCAGTCTGCGTTTGTGCAACCACACGTTCGGCAGTTTGGGCCGCGTCGCCCGCGTTCACGGTGGCGTGAAGAGGAAACGTGTTTCCCGGAACGCGTCGGACAACGAGGCGAGGCTGTAGGAGGGGGTCCGGCGGCGCCGTTATGTTAGAGGGCGGAAATGACTTCGTTGCGGACATGTAATGACGCCCACGCGTCTAGGCTTGTGTTGGTGGAACTTGGTAAAATGAGCTCGCTGTTTAGTCACGACCTGCTTAGCATCGGGTTATGCTACCTCTAGGCGTAGTAGCGTAGATCCGAGAGTGGAGGGCATTTCGTATACTTTTGTCGACCCTAAAGTTTTGAATCAGCAGGGAGTGCTGGGTGCCGGGGCAATCTCCCTCACTTGGTCAGCGAGGTGTTGGAGGGGTAATGTGGTTACCAATATTTCAGATTTCGAAACTTTTGAAACTCCCTTTTGCAAATGTACACAGAAGCTTTTAGCACAGCACACTGTCAACATTTTGGGCTGTGTCTTCTGTGACCAAATACTGAAGTGTGACTTCCGAAGACAACATAAAAATTTCCGTTGCCGGGACTTGAACCCGGGTCTCTCGGGTGAGAGCCGAGTATCCTAACCGACTAGACTACAACGGATATGTTAACTATAGCGATTTCTGCCTGCCACTCGCTCCACTCCCTCTCCAGGAGCGCATTGCTGAAGACGTCGGCATTGGATAAGCCACTCAGGGGACACATGTGTCAACCCAAACTGATTGTAGCTGTCTCGGTTTAACTCATGGTTCTCCACCATCTCCCCCACTCTTGCTTTAGCCTCTACCCTCTCCCCCTCGTGCTTGCTCCACTACCCTACCATCTCCCCTCTCCCCCTCGTGCTTGTTCAATGGAGAAGTCACTGAAAGAACTGTCGAGAGAAGTGGTGATGTCACGCTGAGACAAAAGCAGTGAAGAGGAAGAGAAAGATTGGAACAGCAGACATGAGGCACAGGGGCTAGTAGGGCGTTCAGGTGCAGCAAACCACCCACATACCCCCCTACAACTCACCCAATAGCTCAACACATAGGCATCTGATAGTCACCTGTTCATAAGCTCCTAGTGATTTCCTGGAAGCCACCTGGTAATTTCCTGGAAACCACCTGGTGGAAAGGCACACACCACCCCCACAGCTTACCTGGTGATTCCCTGAAAGGCACACACCGCCCCCACAGCTTACCTGGTAACAGGTGTGGAAGAGGACGGGTGCATCTTGAGGATCGGATGGGTGTCAATGATGTGAGTGAAGGCAGATACCTGCACGGTGGTGGTGGGTGGTGGTGTGTGGTGGTGGGTGGTGGTGTGCGGTGGTGGTTGGTGACGGAAGATGGTGATGGGCACGAGTGAAGGGGAATATGTGAAGGGACATGTGCGAATGGGCATGCGCGAATGGCATGCGCGAATGGGCATGTGTGAAGGGACATGGGTGAAAGGGCATGTGTGAAGAGACATGGGTGAATGGGCATGTGTGAAGTGACATGGGTGAATGGTCATGTGTGAAGCGACATGGGATGGCTGAATGGGCATGTGTGAAGCGACATGCGTGAATGGGCATGTGTGAAGCGACATGGGTGAATGGGAATGTGTGAAGAGACATGGGTGAATGGGCATGTGTCAAGGGACATGGGGGGGTGGGCATTTGTAAAGGGACATGGGTGAATGGGCATGTGAAGAGACATGGGTGAATGGGCATGTGAAGAGACATGGGTGAATGGGCATGTGTGAAGGGACATGGGGGGTTGGAAATTTGTAAAGGGACATGGGTGGATGGGCATATGAAGCGACATGGGTGAATGGGCATGTGTGAAGTGAGATGGGTGGATGGGCATGGGTAGCTGGGCATGGTTAGTGGGCATAACACTCACCGCATGTGCCATGTGTCCCAGAGCCTGCCGACAGCAGCCCACGGCAAGGTCATCCTCGGGGGTGCGAGAGGGGTTGTGAGGGCCAAGGGGGGTTGTGAGGGCCAAGGGGGGTTGTGAGGGGCGAGTGGAACCCTCCCACCCTCCTGTTCCCATGCGTCATTTACCCGTTCCCCGTCTTCCCATCCCTTCCTTCCTCCTCCCTCCCCCTCCCGTCCCTCCTCCCCCCCTTCCCTATCTCGCCAGCACCACCAGTCGTTTCAAGCGGCTCGCTCGCTTCTGCTTCGGTGTCTGCCTCTCCTTCGCCCCCCCCCCTCTCACACCAATGCTCTCCCACGTTGCCATGTTCACCCGCAACAGCCCCCCCTCCCCCCTTCCGCGGTTCCTCCCCTCCCCCGCTCGCCTGGCCCCTCCTGGAGCCCATGGAGAAAAATCTCGTCCCTTCCCTCTCCCCCGCCCGTCCCCACCCCTCCGCCCGCCCCTTCTGCCCTCCTCCCCCATCCTGCTCCGCCTCATGCTCCCCCGTCTCCCACCCAGTTTCCACCAAACCCAACGCGCCAGCATCCCCCCTGCCCCTTCTCCACTCCGCACCTCCCCTCCCCACTGCGCCCCCCCTTCCCCCTACCTGTGGTCGCCCATCACTGCTGCGTCCATCTGCGCCCCTCCTCCTAGTGCCGGGCAAACTGATATCCGCGGACTCTCGCGGAGGGAGCGGTAGAGGGGCGCTCACAGGGGGGATGGCGGCGAAGCGGTGCAGCCGGCGGAGGTGGCGGTGGAGGAAATGATCCAGGCGGAGCGCGACCGGAGCGAGCGTCCACCGCCTCACCGCGCCGCCGCCGCCGCTTTGGCGTCGCAGCGACGCTGCTGTTTCCGCCGCTGCCACCGCCAGGAGTCTCGCCTGTGCGCGCGTGCCTGCCCAGTCCGCCATTGCCGCTTCTCCTCGCCAAGGGGGGTTGTGAGGGGTAAGTGGAACCCTCCCACCCTCCTTTCCTCCTACCCACACCCGCCCCCCTCTCCCCTTCCCACGGCATCTCTCCCACGCAGATAGCCAGCAGCAGCACCACGCACTTAACAACCCTCCTCTCGCCTCCCATCCATACCTTCCCCTCATCTTTCTCACCTTCCCCAGGCGCCTTTCCCCCTCCCCGTTGGGTGGCAGCACTGGGTGCAAGCACTGGGTGCAATGCACATTTGGCCTTTCCACTGCGTACCGCCTACCCCACCCCACCATCCGCCATCCACCAGCATCTCTCCCCCCCACACCAGCATCTCTCCCCCCCACACCAGCATCTCTCCCCCCCACACCAGCATCTCTCCCCCCCACACCAGCATCTCTCCCCCCCACACCAGCATCTCTCCCCCCCACACCAGCATCTCTCCCCTCCACACCAGCATCTCTCCCCCCCACACCAGCATCTCTCCCCCCCACACCAGCATCTCTCCCCCCCCACCAGCAAACTCCTCCTCCACAGTAGCTGCCACCACCAAACACTTGCCTCTCCAGCGCCACCCATCATTACCCCACCCTCACGTCCCTCCCCTCACCTCCCTCCCCTCGCCTACCCCTCCCCTCGCCTATCCCTCCCTAACCTCCCTCCCCTCCCCTCACCTACCCCTCCCTTCATCTCCCTCCCCTCACCTCCCTCCCTCCCCTCCCCTCACCAACCCCTCCCTTACCTCCCTCCCCTCACCTCTCTCCCCTCACCTTCCTCCCCTCAACTCCCTCCCCTCACCTCCCTCTCCTCCCCTCACCTACCCCTCCCCTTACCTCGCTCCCCTCACCTCCCTCCCCTCACCTGCCCCACTCACCTCCTCCACGTTAGGCGCCAGCACCACACACTTGGCCCTCCCACTGCGCACCGCCTGCCCCACCTCCTTCAGCCCTGCCAGCACCCGCCGCCTCATCGCTCCCTGTCCTGTGCGTCGTTGCGGGGGGGATGGGGAGGGAGAGGGGGATGCAGGGGATGCGCCGCCGCATAGCTCCCTGCTCCCATGCGTCCTTTACCCTGAGGTCCCCGTCTCCCCATCCACCCCTCCCCCATCTCCCCCTCCCCCCACACTCGCGCTACTGCGCACGCTGCCACCTGCGCACGCGCTCGCACTGCCGCCCACGCTCGCGCGCCTGTCTCGCCAGCACCACCATGCATTTCAAGCGGCTCGATCGCTTCTTATTCGGTGTCCGCCTCTCCTTCCCCCACCTCAACCCAATTCTCTCCAAAGTTGCTGCCTTCACCCACCCCTCCACAGCGCGTCTCCACGCACCCTCTCTCACGCACGCCCTCTAACACCTTTCCCCCGTTTTTCCACTTTTCCCGCCCGTCCCCACCTGTCTCCACCCGTCCGCCGGCGCCTTCTCCCCTCCTCCGCCTCCCCGTTATCCCTCCCCTCGCATCATTTCCGCCGAACCCAAACCACGCGCGCTAGTATCCACCTATTCCCCTCCCCTCCTTGCGACTCCCCTCCCGGTTCCGCCTCCCCTTTCCCCTCCGCGCGGCCGCCCGTCATTTCTGGCCCCGTCAGCGCTTAAACCGATTTCCGCGGGCTCTCGCGGAGACCCGTTAGAGGCGCGCGTGCAGCGGGAATGGCGGCGGTAGCGGCGGGGGCGGCTGCGGTGGCGACGACGAGGAAATGATCCAGGCGGAGCGCAACTGGCACCACCGCCTCTTCGCGCCGGTGCCGCCGCCGCTCTGGCCTGTGCTGCTCGCAGCGACGCTGCTGTTTCCGCCGCTGAAGCCGCCGGGAGCCCCGCCTGCGCGCCCGCGCTTCCCCAATCCGCCATTCCCGCTGCTCCTCGCGCCTCTGCTGTCGCGGCTCTCCGCCAACGCGAATCGGCTATTCTTGCTCTCATCATCTACTGTCGCTCTGTGTGTCGTTGTTTCGTCGCGCTGTCCGTCGCTTTGACGCGACGATTATCTAGCCACTATCCGACGCCGCACTGGCGCCCTACCCCTCACTACCTGAATGCAGCTTCCGTGACTCCACTCCAGTCCAGCCAGCGGCCCATGTTTGGCCAACTGGTGACCAAACTCAATCCAGGTTACCTGTTACGAGTGCAATTGAGTAAACGAACTAGAATTGCACTATCTAAGCAAGAGTACAATGAGCGAAAGCATGAGCGAAGAATATATACCGAAACTACAGTGGTAACGGTAATGGACTGTGGTTGTTGCGCGACGGGCCTGGGACTGAGGTTGGGAAAAAGTGTCGAAGCGGAGGCCCGGAGCGCGGGTTACCCGCCGAGCCGTGAGGTCGGGGTGCGATGTACGAAGGTGGCGGGCGGATTGTCGATGCGAGGGTTGCGAGTGGTAACGGTGCTGACTGTGGTGCTACAGTGATGTACGCGTTGAGCAGGGATGCGAAGTAAGGAAAAGGAATTTTTCTTACACTACCCCCCCCCCCCCCCCCCCCCCCCCCCCCCCTTAAGGAGGTCCTCCTTACGAAAGTGCGTATACATCCCTGAAATTTCGACTGCGCAGATACTCGGCGAGGACGGGGTGGTTTTCGATTCTGTCTAGGGGAACCCAATTGTCTTCGGTGGGTGTACGGTCTGTTGGGAACAAACAGTCGTAAGCGCTTCTGCCGTGTCGAAACACCAAGACACAAGCGAAGCAGCGCATATCGAAATACCAACGAGTCAACCCTCGGAGGTTGATGTAACCGCTGGAGGTTACGCGGAAGTCAAAGGTCAGCGACCTTTGACCTGACAAATGCAACGCGACAGCAAGGACACACAACTGACTCGCTATTGAGCAGTTGCCCGAGTCGTCACTGTATCGAACCGCAACAGCAATAACAAAACGGTTGTTAACTGTACCGGTATCTCTTCGTATTCCTTGTACTCTTATAAAAACTTGTATCTCTTTGCTTTAATCAACTTACTTTGCCCTCACATACTAGCGCAAGGTGGTTCAAGGACTTTACTTAAAACGCTTCCGCTACTTCATCACTTTACTCAGACATTAACTCTACCAAAGATCCTAGGGCGTTCAGCCCAACATGGTATGAGAGCAGGTTAGAGTTAAATTTTCTTTTTTCCTCAATACTTAATACACCAAGAAGACATGTCTACTGGAAAGGAGAGGAGCTCCTCCAACGGCTCTCCCGGTACTACCCCTACTCCACCTCCTGCCTCTGGCCTACAGACAGAGGAAGGGACAACAACGAGACAAGCAGCTGGGTCTACTGAAACTCCCGCAAACCAAGGCGTGGGCTTCGATCCAAGCATGATGGAGAAATTCTTCTCCTTTCCTTCTACGAGCAGCATCAACAAGGAGGACCTGCACAATCAGACAACAGCAACAACAACGGAGCAACACCCATGAGTCTTGACGGCTCATCATATGCACGGGGAAACCAGCAACAACAGCCTACCTTTGCTCCGTACGAGCGCGGATCCATCAGCTTCATGCCACAACCACAGCCCTCACCTGGACAAGAAAAACAACTGGATGCACTGCAAGTTCAGTCGCAGTTCGCACATGTTCTGAAGATGCAGACGTCAAGACCTTTCAACGGAAAGGATTTCTTCACCTGGTCGTTCGAGTTCGAACTGATGATGGAAGGCGCGCAGATACTCGGATTCTTCGACGGGACCCTGCCATATCCAACCAACGGCACACAGTACGAGAAGCAGCAGTACACCTATCAGTCAATGATGGCGTACACGATCCTACTGAGAAACATCACCCCGACTCAACAGCAGAACATAAGGACTTACCGAGGTTACGGTAACTCCGCGGAGCTCGCGTACAACCACCTGAAGAGCTTGTATCAAGCAACAGACAGTGTAAGTCAAAGTCGGTTAATGGCGCAAGTGACAATAGTTGAAATGAAACCAGGAGAGAAAGGACTGGCGTATATCAGTCGATGTCGCGAATTGCGCGACAAGCTTCTTCGATGCGGAGGGTCGATCTCTGAAGACGCCTTCGTGACAGTCATCATCGGCGGCCTCGGTCCTCAATGGCGCGCCACAAAGGCCATCCTCCGAGCTCACGGGAGAATCTCCGAAGCAGCACTCTGCGCCGAAATCCATGCCGAGCAGCAAGACATGGACCTGCAAGAAGAACGACATAAAAAGAAGTGTCAAACATTATATGTTTGTGTGGTTCTAGGCTGTAGTGGGTCACACCATAGGGGGTACACCAGTTTAGGGTTTCATATTTGTACTCTTGTTCCTGCTAGTCACACCTCTCCTGTTTCTCATTCTGACATGGTATTACGAGCCTAGGTTCCACCTAGGACCGGAACGTTAGGGCCCACCGTTTCCGCTAGCCGCGCCCTCGTGCGCCGCCTTCTCCTAGCGCCCTCGTGCGCCTCGTTCCTAGCGTCGCCCCTTCAGGCCCCTCACGGCCCCTCGCGTCGCCCCTTACGGCCTCTCACGGCCCCGTCTTAAGACCCCGCGCTAGCCCCTTAAGGCCCCGTGTCGGCCCCGCGCTAGCCTCTCACGGCCCCCTACGGCCCCGCGCTAGCCCCGAACGACCCACCTACGGCCCCGCGCTAGCCTCCTACGGCCCCGATTGGCCCCGCGCTAGCCTCGAACGGCCCCGTGTGGCCCCCGCGCTAACCTCCCACGGCCCCGTAAGGCCCCGCGCTAGCCTCCCACGGCCCCTTCAGGCCCCGCGCTAGCCTCCCACGGCCCCGTCAAGCCCCGCGCTAGCCTCCCACGGCCCCTTCAGGCCCCGCGCTAGCCTCCCACGGCCCCTTAAGGCCCCGCGCTAGCCTCCTACGGCCCCGAATGGCCTCGCGCTAGCCCCGACCGGCCCCCTCACGGCCCCTCCAGCGCTCGCCCCTCTACGGCCGAGCCGCGCTGCGCGACCCGACCCGAACCGCGCCGCCCTAGCCGAGCCGCGCCGCCCTAGCCGAGCCGCGCCGCCCTAGCCGAGCCGCGCCGTCCTAGCCGAGCCGTGCCCTCCTTACCTGAGCAGCAGCACCAGTACTGAACTGCTCCTACTACTGCTACTGCTACTGCTGCTGCTACTGCTGCTGCTGCTACTACTGCTACTGCTACTTCTGCTACTGCTACTTCAGCTATGGCTAGCCCTCCAGTTCTCTCGTTCGATACTGAGGGCCGCCCGATTAAGTTTGAGACCTGGCTCGATGATCTGCATCTGTTCCTCCAGCTCACTGCCAGAGAGGATATCTCGCTGTACGATCACGCACTAGGCACAGTCCCTACTCCTGCTACTACTGCTGCTGCTACTGCTCGCTCACAGTGGCAGACTCGCGATGCCCACGCCCGCTTTGCTATTCGCAACTCCCTGCCAGTAGACGAGCGCGAGCACTTTGGCCAGCATCAGACTGCGCACGCCCTGTACACTGCTGTAGTTGCGCGCTACTCCTCCCCGGCCTCAGCTGCACAAGGCCGCCTCTCGCTTCCCTACCTGTTCCCCGACCTGTCCGCCTTCCAGACAGTCGCTGACCTCATCACTCACCTCCGCACTAGTGATGCCCGCTTCCGTGCAGCCATGCCCGCTGAGTTTCTTGCCTCCAACCCTCCCCCGCTCTGGCTCACTCTCTACCACCTAGTCACCCGCCTCCCTGACACTCTGCGTACAGTCAGGGACCACTTCCTAGCTCGCTGCCCCACTGAGCTCACCATTACCGCCCTAGAGAAGGAACTACTTGCAGCTGAGAAGAGTATTGTAGCTGTAGGTGCCTCTCGTGGCGACCCCCGCACCCCTTTCTTCGAGGGGTGTTCCCCCTCCCCCCTGCTCCCCTCTGTCGCCTCTGCTGCTGCTGTCGACCTCCTTGGTGCTGAGCAGGTCGGCTCTGCGTCCGCTCCCAGCGGGCGCCGCAGCGGCAAGGGCAGGGGAGGCAAGGGCGGTGGGGGTGACGGCGGGGGAGGCGGTGGTGGGGGTGGTGGCGGCGGTGGGAGTGGTGGCGGGGCTGGAGGGGCTAGTGGCAGCGGTGGGGGTGGTGGAGGCAGCGGCGGCGGAGGTGGCCGGGGTGGGGGCGGTGGTGGTGGCGGCAGTGGACGTGGAGGCGGCAGAGGCGGTGGTGGTCGTGGTGGAGGCGGCGGTGGTGGTCGTGGAGGCTCTGGCAGTGGCCAGAGCGCGCAGCACCCTCAGTCCTCCCAGGAGCTTCGTGAGTGGTACTTACAGCACGGGGGTGGGGGGGGTAGCCTTAGCTGCACGTACGTCATCCGCACTGGTCGCCGCAAGGGACAGACGTGCGGGAGGGCGCACACTGCGCAGCTCTGCTTCTCTCGCCTAGATGACGCGTGGCGTGCTCAGTTTCCTGACGCTCCTGAGCTCCCTCAGTGGGCTGATCTCCTCAAGAAGGATATCGATATCTATGCTCTTGATTTTGATGTTATTCTCAAAGCCATGTATGCATTGACTATTAGTGGAGAGGAGGACCAGTACCTGTGTGTTCCGCCTGACCCAGGCATCCGCACGAGTGAGGCTGCAGCCCTAGGTGCTTGCGTGTCTGCTGCCCCAGGTGCTAGTGAGGCTACTGCTCTAGGTGCTTGTGTGTCCGCCACCCCAGGTACTACTGAGTCCACTGAGGCACTGCACACCTTCACTC